TTAGCAGACTAAGCCACAGACTAAGCTCATGCCGTATCCGGGAAACCCTGCTTGCGGGGGCCATTGCAGAAATGCGTCTCCGGATCTGTTATTACAAAACTCACAGAAATGCAGTGAATGATGTACCCTTTCTTAGTTTAATGTGGAAATCACTTGGGGCGCAGGGCTGAACTGGCCATCTGGCATAGTGGGCATTTTCCAGCATGATTTTTCATAGAGGACCCCCCCCCCCCTTAACTATGGGGATCCACCCCCCCCCAGGTGGGGACCCCAAAGTTTGGGGCCAATTTTTAAACCCAGTCCAGCCCACAGTACAGTTCTACATACTAGTGGTTTTTAATTTGGGTGCCATGGTGGTGTATTTTAAATGACCGTTGGGCAGATGGTATGGTCAAGCATATATATTTTTAATGGAGCTAGAACATAAGTACACATGGAAAATTGTTTTAACTTGCAACATCATTGGAGAAGTTATTTTGCTGTTTTGAGACTCGCTGAGGCAAGAAATTGAAAGTCTCACCGGAAAACTTGTGATGCTTGGCCGGTCTGCCGACTGGATGAAGTGGGTGTCAAACTAAGGGACGCATTAACAAATAATGACCGCCAGATGGAGACATTTCTCAATGAAAGAGCATTAATTGCTACTAAAACGCACTGCCATGTTCTAGCTGTAATACCTAACGGTAAAATTCACCATTCTACGCAGAAAACGATCGCAGAATTGTGACTATGGAAGATTTACCTAAAGCTCTGGAGTGCAGTCAAGTAAAAACAGCACAATAGGTTACTGCTGAGCGTAGACCACAGTAGAAATATCTTGGGATTGGGGGGTGGGGGGTGGGAGACACCTCTAAAGCAATTTTGTACCAAATATGTTGTGGAAACATGCAATATTACATGAAATCTGATTGACTGATAGAGGCTTTTCAAGTACTCTACACTGGATGTCATCACGTGGAAACGCCAGAACTTTGTAATGAATCCACTCTTTCGTTGGTATGACAAGACGGGTTGTGTTCTGAAGCTTCCCGGCAAATTGCTGTCAGACCACCTCATCTGCCGTAGCTTTCTTGTACAACTGAACGTTACACTCGGTGCCACGGGATAGAATGTGACGGTATAAAGTGGTCCACGTTAATATTGACCCATGTTCAATGGAGGTGGGGGTTTATTACTTGTTTACCTAATATATTCATTCAAAGGATGTGTTGCTCCATCTATGCCACTTAAATCCTATGTGAAGGACACTCAGAAGTTAAAAGATAATTAATTAATAGAGTGAGAAAAGATTTCTGTGCTGTATAAAACACACACTACACTAGAAAACACCAGCTATTCTATTTGATCCATCTGTTCTACAGTATCTGATGAACTTGGAATAGGGCCACCTCATTGCAAAGGGTCATGCTGGCTGTCCAGAGGTTAAATTTAAATGGTGTCTTCCATTAAAAAAAAAAAATTACATTTGTTTAAACGTCCAAAAAAATTGAACTATTTTTGAAATCATATACAATAACAAGGGTAGCATGATGGTGTGGTATAGGTGTGGTATACATGAAATGACTTTTGGGAGAGTGTGCATGTCCTGTGGTGTAGGAGCTTCCGCTGGGTATTACGGTTTACCTTAAATTGGCTCTGTGTATGTATGTGCCTTGTGATGGGCTGCAGTCCTGTCCAGGGTATTTGTTTGTCTTATGTCCTAAGCTGCCTGGAATAGTCTGGAGGTTCCCACAACTTGATAAGCAGTATAGAAATATGATATTTTGATTTATTTGTTGAAGGTGTTTTTTTTCCTTGTGATGTTAAAAAAAAACTGCATCCCATCCACAGTCTCTTCTGCTTTGTGCACCATCCTTACTGTGATTGGCTGCAGTTATTACTCATCTAAATAAATAATTTTCCACATACACATTTAATAAAAGTGACTTTTTAAATTCATTTTATCCTTTCTGCAGTGACATTAAGAAAAGCGTTATTTCATCATTTTACCTACATTATGCTTTTGAGCAGCTGAGCATAATTTCTAACCTTTTTAAAACTATATTAAAACCAAATTTAACTGTATTAAAATATTTCAATCCATCCATGCATGTTCTAACCACTGAAAAGAGACACACACACAACACCAGCAATGATAAAATGAAGCATTACTTGACAGTAGAGACATAAATAGTCTTGCGTTTTATTTTTTACACACCATAGATTAAATGGTGAGCACATTGGTCAGGATGAGGAGCTCGGCTCTTGCCGTATGGAATTATGGGAAATACTTGAGCTGGGTCCTCTCTTGTGTGTGACAGACATAGCTACTAATAAAATTTACTGCAGAAGTCAGCATAATTAAAACAGCCAAGGGTGATTTTGCCTGTTTGCCTAAGTTGTCCTAGGTATGTCTATAGTCTGTATATTGAGTTCACTTAACCTCCTTTAAGAGGAGGCACGTCACACACACGACGGCGGTACTGAATTCTCTTAGTGTCGCATTCTGGTTTTTGATTTAAATAATTGTCTGAAGTTCTTGCTGTGTTTGAAGGATGTTGTACAGCTCTTGCTCTTGCACTGCTCAGCGTTCAGTGGAAGCGCAGCCTAGCTACACTAAAGCCTCGTCAAGCCTTTGACAGCCATATGACTGTAAAGTGCTATTTGCCTCACAGAAGCACCTGCTAAATAAATAAATGCAAATGCAAGTTAATTAATTTGCTATGCTGAGGTAATATACTGCTAATGGAAGGAAGTTGGAGCAGATCTGTGAAGTGTAGCCGACTATGACATTGGAAACCTGTCCTCAGGAGTGCAGGTTGGTTTTCCTCCAGGGAGTGAGTGAGTGTGTGTGTGTGTGTGTGTGTGTGTGTGTGTGTGTGTGTGTGTGTGTGTGTGAGATCTCCAGGACAGGTGTCAAGGTGCTGCATTTGGGAGGGCTTAAGAAGCTTATCGAAGTCTACTTTGGGGGGTTTAACTACAATCTGGTTCAGAGAGACAGAAGACCACTGTGAAAAGCAGGAAGGTCCTTCCTAATCTGTGAGCTGCATTGAGACAGTTGGCTCTTTCATTTTCAGCCTGTGGGAGCTTTTCTGTCTTTAAGGAGAAAGAATCCATATGGCTTTGTTACATTGGTAACACTCCACAAATATAGTATTATACTATTACTTACCTATTAATTAACCACAAACTGAGCCTTAGTTACATGCTGATCGCATGCTAATTCATCATTAACGAATCATGATACATGTTTTATTATGCTATTACTATATTTGTTACTGTATTTGTTAATATTTGTTAATTGTAATATTTATTTGTGAACTACTGTAGGAACAATAACACAAGTGAAATACTGATCTCATGTTTGTTTATCATTAATGAATTGTGAAGCATCTTTCATCTCAAGCAGCGACTATATTTGTTCATGATTTTTATTTCAGTAGTAACTGAGTTATTTACTAAGTATCTCTGCCCCGTCAAGTAAAATGTTACCGTTATATGAAAAATGGTAACTTTGATGTTTCATCTCAGATTTCATGCCACTTATATGTTTCGGCTCTGTGCTTCTTCGTAGAACTTCATTTTTATTTAGTAAGACACTGGGCTGGCTGTCAATTTTTCATTTGACACCAAGCCAGGGGTTCCTTCCCGTTTTTACCAGCCAAATGAAAAACTCCTTCTCCTGTGTTTTTCTTATTGGGAAATACATCCATCCTTTCATGGACATTCTGTCCGCATAAGCAACTTGGAACCACAGAGGAGGGTGGAGAGCTTGCAGATTTTTTGACCTTGGGGCATTCATGATTGAGCAAAACAACTATAATATAGAATGCCGTTAAGTCTCCAGGAACCCAAAAAAATGTTGTCGTTTTTGACGGATGCTTTATGGCAGATTCGCACCCAAAAAGTGCCTGGTTCTTCCGCCAGTGCTATAATTTCCAGCAGTCACACATAAAAGTTTAAATGCATCACCTCTCAGCAAATGTACAGCTTTGCATGCGATTTTGTGCAGGCAACTGCTTCAGTCCACATACCATTCAGCTTTATGACGGTCCAATCATGGCGTCTTGACATGTGCTCATTCAAGTTCCTGCATCTCTAAGGCTGATTACTAAAGTAACTGCCAGTTTTTGCCGGAAGTAACTGGCTGGCTGATAATCAGCCCCCATTCAGAAATCGGGGAAAAGCTGCACCTTAAACACTTCAGATGTTTTGAGAAATTTTTTATCATCTCCTTCATTTACTCCCTCTGCCTCACCTCAAATTTCTAATTGCTGTAGCCAGGGGGCATGTGACCAAAGATGTTGTTTTGTGTTTTCACAACCCTTTAATTATCTCCACTGAATGCAAGCCTAACCCTAATCTAATGAGAAGTCAAAAACTAGCTACATTACAGTAAATGTGACTGGGGCTGTGAGGGAAAAAATTACCCCTTTCGTAGAGCTTAGAATACACCAGAAACGTACAGTCTGTAGCCAGATAAAGATATGCATTGGATGTAACAGTAAAAAAAAGCACTTTGTATAATCGTTGTTTGGCCTGTAGTTCTAGCTGATGTTACAATAACAAGTTCTAACACTTTCCTTCCCATTTTTCTAATTGTAAAAATTCATACTCTCTGAGAATAAATTAAGAAATGAATGAATGATTCAATCAATTCTAAACTATTCCTCAGCCAATAGGAAGGCACGTGATGTGCAACAGAAGGGAATTCCACATTCCCATTTCAGGGCATTTTAAAATTAGCACTGCTTCACTAATTCACAAACCCTTTACCAGTGAAGTATAAAGAAACGTGGCCTACAGATGCCATGAAATGTTTCAATTTACTTTTTATTGATTTAATTAAAGTATCGGTTTACCGCAGTGAATTTCCCTTGGTTTGGGTTAAATACATGAAGCGAGACTGTTTCCCAGTATGATTTAAGGAAAACGGGTTTCCTGCCAAAGTCATTATCTTTTTTTTTTTTATGGTGTCCTTTTTTAGATCTTTTGTTTGAAGCAGATCTGGTCCTGCTCACAGGTCTTCAGACTCCGCTTTTCCGTTGAGGTGGCAGACCCACCTTGGGTTTTTGATGATAACATCTCGGGTCACGGAGGATCACCTGGAGGTCCAGGAACATCCTCCTTCTGTGGGGATCCAGTGTCGTATTATGAAATGGGGTGGGTGCTCTATCTAAAAGGGGTCTGTCTTTGGATTTTATGAGCTCCACATCTGGACGTTGAGCACGGTTACTGGGGATACTGGGAAGGTCTCTGAGTGACAGGGGTTGGGAGGAGGGCGTGGTGTGGGGGCGTTGAGGTATCTCAGATGCCCTGCTGTGCTGCTGCGAATGCAGAGCAATCTGGCCACAGCCTGTGAAATACGCCCTTGGATCCTGGCTAATTCCAGCTACTGGATACAACTAGCTGTCGCTTGAGGAGGTACCAGCTCTACACTTAGTCATAGCGTGTGCTTCAGGGCGACATGGATCTCACTGGCCTTTATCTACTGACAACCACGTTGGTGTTCATTCTGCAGCGGGAAGGTAAAAACACCATCGTCTCTTTTATCACGCCGTGATTCTGAAATGGTTTTACTCTCTACAGCTTTCATTATTTTCCATTACATATCAATGAAGAAGTAACAAGCTTTCCTGAAAAGAGTTAATAAATGGATTTATTCTGTTTCTAAATATATTTTTTATGCGACTTTTCATGTCTTCTGGTTGGTCGATCTAAATCCTTATTTACATTGAGGCCTTTTGACTGTGCTAAAATCTTTCATTAATTTAAATATTACAGAATCTACAACAGGTTTAAGTTTGTCAGCTAAATAGAATTTCTCCATTTAAATGGAACAAAACCTTTCCTTAAAAAGTTGGGCTTTAAATGTAACAGCAGGTACTCAGCTATTCATTGTTTTAGTGAATATTCTTGATGATGTTTCAGTCTTATTTGCGGACACAGCGTTGTGACATCAAAATTGTAAAAGTGTAAAAGTGTTACAGGTTGTTAGCATATAAACATCTGGAAATGCATAACGTAAATATGTAAAGATCCTTTTGTGACATATGTCTCACGGACCTGAAGTTTTATACAAAATATAACCATTTTGCTCAAGAATCATTTAATTTAATGTTCCGGCCCTGGCGATCAACATTGAATGTATCTCACAGGACTGTGTATTGTTGAGCTGCGTTTATTTGTTTGTTTGTTTGTTTGTTTATTTATATCATATTTTGTGCAAATCTCAAGCTATGTATCACAATGAAACAAACACACAGCAATGGGATGTAATGAATCAGAAGTGACATTTCCTGCTCCCTAAGAGCTCCATAAGTCTATTGTGAGTGAAATCCCAGCTTTTGCCTGAGGCAAAGACTTACCGAGGAGGAGAGACAAAGGTCAAATGAGACCATCTCAGCACAGAAAAGTGGTGTAAACATCACATAAAAAAAAGTTACGAAATGGTGAGATTGTGTGAAGAGGCGCTCAGGAATAGCACCGCAATAGCACATTCAGTCATGGAGATAAAATGTAACTGGATTATTTTTATTAGAGTTAGATGCATTAGGTAATAAAGTATATATGTAACACCTGTCATGACGGGATGATTGACTCCAGGCAGGCCTTTTGAAACAAAAAGTGGTTTTATTGAATGCGATGAACAAAGGTTGGAAATAAACGGGATCAAGAGGGGTCAAAACAGGGGGAACTGGGACGAGGTGGGGCACAGGCAACAAGAAGGTACCATGCCAATAACTGGACTAGCGAAGACCGGATGAACAGGTAGTTTTATACATAGACTGCTTAGGGGCAACAAGCATCAGGTGTTGCCCATCAGGGCCATGTGATACAGGAGGGTCAGGCGTATGTGGCGGGCAGGATGTGACACCACCCACATGTTTCTGCGCAAAAAACAGTATCAGAGAACCAGCATTGGTTTCACATGCTGAACCAGCGTGACGTGTGCAGGATTAAGTGCCCATGTGCTCTACGTGTGAAGTTTGTCTGTCGTTTGAGATTTGTCTCGGTAGAATGTGTCGTTTTAGTGGCCAGACATCTGATATTTGTAAGATTTTAAAGTTTCTTGTTTCTTTTTTTTTCCAAAGCGAGGGAGAAAAAAATGTCGAGGCCTTTCTGCTAGAGGAAGATGGACTGATGTTGTAGCGTGTCTCCAGACACCCAGGGACATGCCGTGTTCTGGTTCTGTTAGCCTCGGCTCACGGCTGATTTACTGAAAGTTCTGCTCAGATTCCCAGTGGTCAGTGCTGCTCCTTCAGGCATGAGTCTGCGTCCTTGTTAAAATGTTTTGTATATGTGGTACCTGTAGATGGGTGGCTCTCAAGGCTGAGATGAAGCCCTTAGGTCATCGCTAGCTGGGGGGGTTCTGAGCCTCCCTTACAGATGTCATTTCTGCTTATTCTGACCCTATGCTGCAGGAGTATGTCGTTTTTGGAGGACGGGCAGTCAAATTCAAACTGATTTCTGGAGAGTTATAAAAAAAAGTCAAGGGGGGGGGGGAGCCAAATAAAATCATACGGCGCAGTCTTGATAGCAGTGATTCAGGTCTTTAAATTTTAGAGTTTATGTATTTATATGGATTAGTGTCTCTGCCAATAAAGGTCTCTTTAAAAGGTTCCGAAGTGTAATAAAACAGATGAGCTTCACTGGGGAATACTCAGCAGGAAAACTGATTTCCTGACTCGCGTCACTGTATATCGTGCCGGCCCTCTGAGGCACCCCAAGGCCTCGCTGTGAAGTGTGGTGAGATGCAGTGCAGAATTGATTTGTTTTCATTCACAGCATCAAAATAAACCCCAGGGGAAGCTGCCCTCCTGTCTTACTGGGGACCAGATGGCTATACCAGCAGCAAGCCACCCAACTATCACTGTACTGCTAAAACTGACTTTTGCCTTCCATAGTGAAAATAGCCAGAATCACAATCCTGATTGATTTGTGGATAAAAACAGTTGTGCCCTAATACAGCAATTGAACTGATTTAATTTTAGTCATTGCATATACATGTATCCTTTAAGTAGCTTTTAATTTATCTAGCAAATATATATATATATATATATTTTTTCCAAATCATAAAATTGCACCTTTAAAATGATCACAAACGGGGCCTGAAAAGAAATAGTTTTAAAAGAACCATGAGTGACACTTCAGACGAGTATTGTGATTCTCCTCTGTGAAAGAGGCTAGCTGCAAATGCTTAGCCACAAGCACATTGCTAGGAGAGCGGGATTAGCATTAGCAATGGAGGATGGTGTGAGGAATGTCAGACCTTTAGTAACGCAGGGAAGCTCATGCGGAAACCCTGTGAAGACCAGAACTTCCTCCAGTGAAAGATATAGGCTACCTCACCCACAAATTAGATTTCAGCTTCAGGATGAAATAAAACTGATCTTAAACCTATATAGCAACATTATTAAGTCATTAAGAACCGAGAGACGATGGTGGCTTAATGTCCATAAGGATCCTACTGTTCTACAATTTACTTAAACTGCTTCAGCGGTTCACCATTTCACTATAAAGCAAGATTAGGTGTGTAAATTGCTTTTTGTATTTAGTTAATTAATAATACATCCATAAAGATGAGAAAAATAAATTACCTGCATTATGTAATGCAACTATATTGGCAAACTTCTCCAGACATAATACTATTGCATTTCCTGTAATCCTATTGGATATGTTATAGTAGTTATAATGCTATGGGATTTCCTGTAATCCTATTGGATATTTTGTAGTAGATATAATGCTATGGGATTTCCTGTAATCCTATTGGATATTTTGTAGTAGATATAATGCTATGGGATTTCCTGTAATCCTATTGGATATGTTATAGTAGTTATAATGCTATGGGATTTCTTGTAATCCTATTGGATATTTTGAACTTTCGCTATAAATTACAAATTTGCGTGCAATTGGCAAATTGGGACGAGCTCTTTGGTTTTGGCGCTAATTGGTTCAACTTCTCCCGTAGCCAGTTCGGTCTCCATCACTGGCCCACTTCCTGGTGCAGACAGAAGCCAGAAGACTCACGCTCCATCTGGACCTCCTCACCGGGTCAAGCGCTGCTCCTGCGAGAACCTCAAAGACATGGAGTGTGTCTACTTCTGCCACATCGGAATAGTGTGGGTCAACACACCAGGGTGAGTCCAAGGTTCCCCCCAGTCATGGATATAAGTGTTAGGGATTCTCTGACATTGGTATGCTCTAGTCAAGAGGAGGGGCTTCTGAAATAGAGGCGGAGTTCATGCGACTAGGTATCTGCTCGCAAGTGCTCTTGATTTAGATCATTATCAATTTCCATTCTGTCAAATTTTTACTTTACTATGTAGACATACCGTTCTAGGAGTTTATTAAAAGGAACAAAACATTTACTAAGGACTACACAACAAAGCATCATTGCGAACAACTTTTGGAATTTTATGGAACTTATTTGGAATTTTATGTGACACAGGCTGAAAAAATTACAGGCTCACACTCAGTAAACAAAATATATTTTTTTTAAAAGCCTAACGAGTGTAAGAAAAGCCGGAGGTTAACAGTGCATCCAAGAAACCATGTTTAATTCGGTTTTTGTTTTTCTTATTTCAGTCGTATATCATAGTTATCAATGCAACACAGCTACAAGTGTTTACAGGAAAGAGAGAAACACTTTAATGTTTTATAAGTAAATGTTAGCTGTGCAATTTGCTAAATTCACTGCACAACACATATTAGAGCCAGCTTTGCTCAATTATCCAGCTCTCAGCTAGTTTAAGAAAATGTTCCATTGCCTTTTCTTAATCTCTTTTTCCATGAAAGTGCTGTCATATCTGTCCTGAAGGTTACCGTGTTTAATTCTGTCTAACCTTACGTCATCGGCCAGGACTGACCTCTCCAAGCAAACACTCACACGTGCAATTCCATCTCCATTGGTTGTTATTAACATGCTCCGAAGTTAACTCCAATATAAGAGTCACTCATTATGTCTCAATAAAACCCTAAGATAAACTGTATATTTATCTGGGTTTCCAATAAATTCTTCTACACACATCAAAATGTAACTGTTTATTCACTGTGTGTTTTAAAAGAAAAACGAATTGGTTTTGATACTGGTGATTAACGGCTGTGTACAGTTGTGTAAACTTAAATGGAGTTTCCAACATTCCCTGAAAAATAACTCGAAAGCTAACGTAATATGTATGACATTATTTTTATATGGGGGGGTGGGGGAAACCCGAGTACCAGGAGGACACCCCATGATGACACGGGGAGAGCATGCAAACTCCACACGGCGGAGACTCGGGAGTGTGAGGCAAGAGTGCTAAGCACTGACCCACCGTGTCACCCTGCTCTGAAGTTCCCACAGCCGTAAAAGTGCATTCAGTGTGAGTGTAGTCAGCAACTCAGCAGCGTTCAGGGAGATAGGAGTGTCAGGACGCAGAGAGAGCCCTGGCTGGGGAGTGGGGGTCAGGATGGGGAGTTTATGCATCTGCAGTACAGATGCATTTTCTCTCTGATATACATAAAACAAAGTTGCTCTGATTGGAGAAATATTTTTAGAAAAAACATAATATAGTGTAATTATAATATAATGTAATAAATTATAATATAATGTAATATAATATGTAAGGAATAAACCATGACTGGGTGTGTAGTTATGTGAAAATAATCAATGTCAACTTGGTGTAAAGTGTAGAGATGCTACCCAATTTGAACTTGATTATTTGCATACACACCTCAAAATGGTTCATCCCTCTTATACCACGCTTAATGAACAAAAAATAATAGTAAAATAGTCATGGTTAATTTTCCAGAAGAAATTTATTTCAGTTAGCATTTAATGTTCCAATATGCTCCTATGAATATAGTCCCTATAGGGATAGAACATCTGGTCATTGGAAACCGTCAACAGTCAGGCGCTTGTGTTATAAAAACCAAGGGAAATTATGCTGGGAACACTGGCTGCTTATTTATGAGCAAAAAGTCGCACCGGTTTTTATATTAATATGCTAAATAACACATGAAGGCGCATTAATATAGAACTGTTATTAGGCTGCCGGAACTACCTGTGCAGTTACATGAAAATAAACACCCATGTGACATCTCTGGACCAATAAGAAAACAATATTTACCAAAGCTGTGGTATAGAATGTAATATAAAATTATCATCCCATTTTTCACAGATGAGCAAGATCAAGTAAATAATATAATCTGCCTTCATTTGTGTACTAGAAATCAGACTCTTAGCCTGAGGGCACATTAGTATTTATGTAGGTTAGTAACCTAATGGGAATTTCTAAAGGCCCAGTCAAGTCTAATTCACTAATGGAAGGCTGGACAGACAGATAACATTCACATTAGGTTCCCAGATACGGGCCCGTCTGCATCTGAGTTGGGTTCATTAGTCAGACCTCAGGCATGTGCCGACCACTTGGAGAGGCTGGGTCTGTCGCTGAAGAATGAGGAAGTTGTCAAAGAGCTGGATTGGTGAAGGACCTGGTTCTTATGTTTAGCTAAGATTAGTATTGTACCTGTAGAGTACAACTTTTAATTGTGCGTGAAGAAGCTTTGTCATTAGCTCACTGTCTTTCGACATGTTTGGTATAATTTACATTGGGATATTCTTTTATCATCATACTTCATTGTTTGTGATAGTTATAGTGTGATAGATAGCATTTGCTAATTAAGGACATTTGTTTCAATCCTTTTATTCATATTACTTTGATTTGTTTTTGAAAGAGTGCTCTGCAATAAAACAGTGATGCCGTACTAGCAAGAATTTAAAAATTCACACCTATTTAATTCACCTCTTTTCATAACACTCCGTCTGACCACACAATCGAAAAGAAAAAGAGTGAAATAGGAACAAAAACTGCACAGCTGTTGCCGAAGTGCTTTAGGAACGGAAAAACTTCCATCGTCACTTCCACCGTCATCTTAATGCATAACTCACTAATATCAACCCAACCATACTAACATATAACAATAATTAGCAAATAATAAGATCAAACTCCATAAACAACAACCACTAAGGAATGTCTAAAAGGAGATGATTAAATCAAACTGATGACTATTTTAAATGATCATGAAAAAAATGACAGAGCTGTTAAGTTTTTTGCATTTATTTACAGAATCGTGCAATGGTAGTCGCATGCTGTGCCAGATGGAATAAAAATGCAATAAAACAGGAAAAATTCTTAAAGGTTTTGCCATTCTTTGGAGCACGTTTATTGGAGAACGCTTTTTGTCTTGCAAAATGACTTCCTGTCATCAGCAGGAAGCCGGATCTCACTGCCAATCCCGTTTAGGCGGCGTGCAGTGAATTGACCCCATTCCCTGCACCAGTGCATGACCAGCTCACACTGTTTGTCTCTCCCTCTCTCTCGCTTTCTCTGGCCGCGCTTACAGACAGGTGGTGCCATTCGGGGAGGGTCTGTACCCGGTCCGGCTGAGGAGAGACACGGGTCGGTGCGTCTGTGCGGGTGGCGGTGACACCGAATGCCTACGCTTCTGTGCTACACGACGTCTCCAGAGAGAGTTGGGTGGCCTATTTAAAAAATTAAAAAATGCCTCCTTTTGCAATTAAACGTCTGACTGCTGCTGGCTGAAGCTGAACCGAGTGACAGTCAGCTGCTGAATCCTTATCCCTCCCCCCCAGAGATGAAACACAGATTTATGCTTTCGTCCCCCTCTCGTTCCCTGCAGGTAAATACAAGAGCACAGCATAGCAAAGCGCACTCACTGTTTCAGCTCACACTGCGCCGATTGTTGTCATCGCCTTTGAAAAATCCACAGACGGCTCAGATGTGTCTAAATATCTGCCCGTCTGCAGGGTCACAAAGGACTTTAACTTCAGGTCCACTCAAAGAACGAGGAGATGAGGCTGTAAAATTGACCCATGTTGCTTCTCCTGGCTTCCAGTGTGCATGCCAGTGTGCGTGTTCCAGTGTGCGTATTCCAGTGTGCATGCCAGTGTGCGTGTTCCAGTGTGCATGCCAGTGTGCGTGTTCCAGTGTGCATGCCAGTGTGCCTGTTCCAGTGTGCGTATTCCAGTGTGCATGCCAGTGTGCGTGTTCCAGTGTGCATGCCAGTGTGCCTGTTCCAGTGTGCATGCGTCTCAGTACAAATCCTCAATTGTCTCGTAAACCTCGTGGATTATCAGATTCTAAAATATCTTTTTAGGAGACATAATCCAAATGGTTAAATAGACAGATCCACCAAGTTCTTCTGGCAATTACAGTGTGCATGATACTAAAACCTTTGCTATTTCCAGTTCATATAAAAGAAAAGACATTTGGACTATTTGAAGAAAGTCCAGATCTTTCCTTATTAGAGTTCACCCTTAGTAACTGTTAATCAATTATGAATTAATTAGCATTTAGCAGTTAAGCTAACCCACATTCTACTTTCTCGTTTGAGTTTTGGTCGTATATTTTCACTCCAGATCCTGGTCAGCTGCAGGATCTGCAGGCTCTTTCATAGCTACCAGGAGATATCGCCTAAGTACTCAACTATGGTAGCAATTAGCGTGCAGGTAGAATGTCATGGCATCCCTCCAGCGCTAGATCTCAAACTCGTACTATTATCTCATCTGATACATATACTTTGCTCTTTTATTACAGACAAGAGGAAAACATTGGCTCATCTCCCAAAGAACCCAATGTTGCTAAGTCAAGAGAAAAGTTTGACACCGTCCCCTTGAGCAATGGGCAGAGACCAAAAGTTTCTGTTCAGAAGACGTGAGAGGCCGTGGAGGATGGTGAAGGGGTCCCCCTCACTGGGGCTGCCTGATCCACCATCGATCTGGGAAGGAGGCTATGCATTGGATGTGTAGATATTTATGACAATAATGGGCTGTATATTTTTTGTCATATAAGATTACAAATATTTGTAAATACAGGGACTTCTTGTGATTTTTTTTTTAGTAGGCAGGGTTTATAAAATATTTTTATTTGTATTTTCACTATTCCAATCTCTAGCTGATCTGACAAATGTTACTTTCATATCTTTGGTACAAAATGCACAATGGACTGGATCTAAAATGAAAACCAGTCTGGAAGCATGAAAGCGTGAAATATCTCACTGCAGTCTGGAGGCTCCTCCCCCCGGTTTCAGCTCAAATGTGTTTTATTAGCACTGCATATTCACAGGCTGTTTCGTATTCGTTGTGTCCGTCGCTAAATGCACTTTAAACATTTTAGACATTCTCACAGCTGCATTTCAAATCACAGATGCAAAATAAACTTTGAATCTACATGTACATATTTTGTGTGAGCAATAATCTAAACAATTGTTTTTATTTAAAAAAAAAATAAAAATCAACAACTTTATCTAATATGTATGGAGTGTAAAGCCAGTCCAGCAGTGACTAAATGTTAAAAACCACTGCGCTGTTTTTTTGTCAATATAGGAAGTTTAAAAATGATTTGTTTTGTGAAATAATATTTCCCCAATCAGAATTTTATTGTTGTTTGTGTCAAATGAAGTGCAGCGACTTTCAGTGCCTTTTATATGTAAAATGTCCTTTGGAAAAACATTTAGACTTAAAAATTTTGATTTGTGGGTTGAGGGATCCTGGGTTGATCCCTGCCTGGTACCCCAAAGATTTAGGATGGACTCTGGAATAGTCTGTTTCTGAGTGGATGTTTTATTTACTGTTTACGTTTGATTGTTGTCATTAGTAAGACTCTGTATAAATTCCGTCTGAATGTTAGGCGGAATAGGAGTTGGTGTTGTATCTGTGACTGAGCTGAACTGAAATGAGCTGAGGTCACACTGGCTGTACATATCATGCTCAGAGTGGGCAAAACGGCAGTATGTGTAAAACATGCGATGTGACATACAATAACACAGAATCCTGCAATTTGCAGGTCAATTTTACGTTTTAGGCAAACAAAAAGTACAGGAATATTATGCTGGACATTAATGCTGCAGAAATTATTTTATTATTTAAATGATACTCTACTCCACCACTAATTTCATCCACTATAGCAGTTGTTCTCAATCTGGTCCTCGAGGAGCTGCGAGGGAGCAAAAACATGGACTGTTTGGGGGGATACCTGAGGAGCAGATTGGGAAACACTGCACTACAGCCATGTGCAGGAGAGATGGGATCTTTGCAATGGCGATTGGGTGACAGAGAATAGCTGGGGTTTGTTATTGGCTGGGGGACAGATTGTGTTCTTGGGCTGTGGCCAGTGGACAGTAGCCCAGCAAAACGAACACCCACAGGGTTCTGGAGAGGGAATAGTTACTAACTATCCAGTTTAATATATCTAATACATTTTGTCAGACAGAAGGAACATAACTTGTGGATTGTTACAGAGAGTATTTTTTGTGTCTGTGCTGTATGACTTGTGATTTTCTGCCATGGTTACCAAGTTTTTTTCATGTAAATTCAACATATTCCATACAGAGAAAGCATTATAAATCAAGTCACCAATGCATTAATTAGGGTAAGGTTCACTGCAGGTTCAACAAAATCAAGATGGTTTCTAATAGAGCTATTATCTGTGAGTTATATGTGCTGTTGTATTTTTCAGTATCTAATTCCATGCTAAGGAGAACAGACATTATCACATTGCTGAGATGAAAGCATTTCTGTAGTAGAAAGGTATTTAATTCACCTCCCAGTGAGTTTGTGTGGGAGGTCAATGAAAAACAATTGAATGTAAGGGGCAGTGCGGCGAGTTCCTTTGCAATCATAATTATCTTCCTTTCCCAAGCATGATATTGAGAGTGGAACAAGGGACGAGCCCACGGAGGGAGGGGGGGGGGGTTCTGGGGCGAATGAGCTGGCAGCACGATGTTCTGTACAGAGGTACACAGGGTCAATCCTGCATTTCTATCGCTCTAGAGGTCCAGAATTAACAGAAATCAAGCCACATTAATGCAAAACATCCTTTGTTATTATAAAGAGCATCTTGTTTTAAGCAGTTGGTTTAGAGAAGCCCACACATTCGTCTGGGTACTCCTGTGTTCTCCAGTCCAAAGGCATGCAGTTAGGGAATCGATGATTCGAAATTGTCTATTTTGCTCTGTTTCTATTAAATGCTGCTTTAGAGGAAATCTGTGGTAATTCTATAGTTTACCTTGCGGGCGCCGCATAGGAAGACGTAAAGCTACCCTTGAAAATCTGTAACACTCACAATCCTTTCGGCTGTCACAAATGAACTATGGATCATGCTTATTGTTTTTATTTATCTGTCAAATAAATCATACTTAATTACCATGTATGAGTATGGCATGTGCTATTTCTTTGATGTAACATTCAGTGTTCTATCTGTGTTCTATTGGGCTCTCTCTCCTTCCTCTCCTCTGCTCTGTTCTATTCTCTGACAGTCACATACATCCGCATCAGTAGCTTTCAGAAGTACAGGCGGATCCATTGGATAATATCTAGTGCAAAGCTTCGGCTGCAGGTTCCAGTGTCTTTCTGGCTGGTCCTTTTCACTTATTGTCTCAGCAGTGAAAGCTGGAGTGGAATGAAGCCAGGAGTTTCTCTCAGGTAGCCGAGGTTGTTTGGTTCTTGGATTCCCGCCACTTTCAATCTGCTGCACACAGCTTTGTGCCGCTAGCACCGTGGCTGAGGCGAGGCCAGGATGGAAGGTGGCTTTGCAGGCCTGAACACGACAGAAGGATTCCAGAATCCTGGTGCATTTGGTATACGATCTAGGGGAGTCTCACACATATAATTAAATGACTTCTTCCTCACAGTTGTACTTGACTTGCAGTGTAAAGTGTGAAGTTTAATGTAGTTTTCTTGGTTTCTTAAACATTGACTTACAGCAACAATGACAAATTCTCTCTAAGGATAAGAAAATGCAGTGAAGCCTTACAAATAGTACGGCACAAATTATTTCTGTCTTGACACATTTATTAGCACAATAAATACTGCTGAAGTGCTGCAAATTCACAGAATGGAATAGAAAATAGAATAAATCAAAACTAGGCCTGCATTTTGTTCTTGTTAGTTTTCTTCTATTTGAATAATTTATCCCTTAAGGTATCCATCCATCCATCCATCTTCCTTTGCCGTTTATCCAGAGTACTGTACAGCCCAATCTAGGAAGTATGTGGTAAGGGACTCTATACATGGGATACCAGCCCATTGCAGGGCACACACACACACACACACACACATAGACAGACAGACACACACGGAAACACACACACAGACACACACACATACAGACACATACACAGACCCAGACAGACACAGACCCAGACACGCACACACACAGACAGAGCCAGACACGCACACACACAGACAGAGCCAGACACACACACACACAGACAGACCCAGACACACACACAAACCCAGACACACACACAGACACACATAGACACACACGGAAACACAGACACACACACACATACAGACACATACACAGACCCAGACACACACACACACACACGCACACACGGAAAGACACACACACAGAGACACACACACATACAGACACATACACAGACCCAGACACACACACACACAGACAGAGACACACACAGACACACACACACACGCACAGACACACAGATACGGAGACAGACAGACAGACACACACACACACACACACACACACACACTCTCATTAGTGTTTATATCTTTATGTGGACCGTCTGTTCATTTCTAAGAGAAAAACCCTAATCTCGTCAATGACGACCTTAGCCCCTAACCAGCCCCAACCTTAACCATAAGTAACCAAACAAAACAAAAGATTTTTTGATTTTTTGACTTTTTGATGCCTGTTACAGATTTTTGTACAATTTAGTTTTCTTTTGTGGGAAGTCTGGGGGCCAAATAAATGGTCCCCACAGCGTCAAAGTAAAAGGTTTGCATCACACTCTGGGGACATTTGGTCCCCACAATGTAATGTATATCTGACCCCCCCACACACACACACAGAGTTTCACACTACGGGCAATACAGAAACATAAAGCACATGTTTAAGGTCAGAAACAGAAGGTCAAAGGTAACGTTTGAAATGCCACCTATCAGATTAAGTAATATTTACATGTGAAACTGTCCCTTAAGTCAAAAGAAATACAGTATCAGTCACATAGTTCACCTGTGGTCATTAACTAAGTACATTCATGATTCTAAATCAGACCTTATGGCCTTCAATATTTCAATTATGAAACTCACAGAAGTCAGGAACGTAATATATATGTATTGAAAAGAAGCATCTAGTCTTCTTGATGCTGTCAGATATTTTGATTTCACAAATCCTAAACGGCAATGGGATGTGTTTAATGGCCTCGTGTCATGCCAGCCAATTAAAGATAAGTTAAATTTCATCTCAGTAAACCAAGACATGCAGCAAACTAATTTTGTTGGAAATTTTCCTGGATATTACATCACAACCTTAATCCAGAGGCTATACAAACCACACGTTCAGAACCAGCCTGGTGTTAATGTGCTGTTTGCATTCATTTCCTGTTTCACGACTCTTGGTGTAGTTCGCTAATCTCATTTTCTCCTAAAAATTCCATCCCTTGCTGGTGTCTACCTCAGTGTCTGCCCAGTGTCAGCAGAGACAGCACTTCAGCATTTCAGCATTTTGTGCCTTTCTCCTAAACTTTTATGCTTGACTTGCGCTAAAGCTCCTTTGTTGTCATGTTTGAATCCTTCCTTCAGTGTTGAATCCCACTCTCCATCCTGCATTCATGGAGTTTGCATGCCCTCCCTGTCTTATGCAGGATTCCTCTGGTTTGCTCCAACAGCAGATTATTTAATGCATCACTCTTGCTTTTCTTCTGACAGACATACAGTAGATAAATAAATACGTTATTTTGCTAAAAGGGCGAACCAAACCCCTACTTATGTGTTTGAACTTTAGTGATGTTGAAGCACGGTTGTGATATATTGAGAAAATTACAAACATCTGTGTAGGGTTGGGCACCTTCACTGTTATGCAAATGAAACTTACACACAACCTTGCATCCATGGTACAAACCCTGGGAAGAAATCTGATATCTATTAATGCTACAATTCATTGTCAGCATATTGCGAAGAATTGAATATCAGGACTGTGAGACGAAAACAGCAACACATTTCCAAATATATACCCATGATAACAGCAAGATTATTGACCTTGGTTTGCTTATTTAAAAGCTATGTAATTAGCTTCCCATTCAAATTTTATTCTAACTACTTTATATAACTACTTTGGAAAAGGGCAGGCATCTGGGAGAGCACATGCTTGCAGAAGTCCCCATGAGGATGGAACCATGTTCTTCATTTTCTCGACAGATAGAGGCTGGACCTTCAAAGTATGAGCAGTAGCAACATCAAGGGTAAACTGCGACTCTCACCATTTATTGTAGCACACTGAAACAAATTCATTGTAGCATGTCGAAGAACCATGTGGCGACTCTTTGAAAAGCTTCAAACAAAGTCACAGGATTTCAGCCTCGGAAGATAAACTCAACGTGTGAGGCCGCTGATTACAATTTGCTTTTCGATAAAATAAAATCTCTGATGAAAAAATTTAGATGAACAGGTCCGTTTCCTACTAAGCCAGCAAATAAACAACAGAGTTTCCTTGTAATGCAGTGAATTTATCAGCTAATTAACATCTCTCTGGTGTGCCATAAAACACGCGGTCCTCCTCCGCGATTTCAGAATACCGTGGCGCTCAGCTGAACGGCACATGCAGGAAATGCTACCCGGTCTAGCCACCAAACCCGAAAATGGCTAATTAAGCAGTTAGCCCTGTCGGCTCCGTAAAGGCTTTGATACAGGATGTTTTTTCGGATGTAGATGCTTTGTTGATTTTCTGCTTACGGCTTCCTGCATGTGTGCGAAATCTGTTTTTTTCTTTTCTTTTTTTTTTTTTCGGGAAAACACCGTCTCCCCCAAACCCAGTAAAAAAAACTGTGGGAATGGATTCCGGATAATTGTCGAGGGCTCCCTCATGTTACTGTGAGTGGGAGGCGACACGGCACAGCACTGTGGCATCAAACGAGAGGGCGATTATGGTTAAGATGAATGGGAATATAAGAACGGCTGTGAAAAAACTAGCTACTCGGCATGCGACAGAGAGCCCTGAAGGAGACAAAAGAGCCTGCAGAGCTGCGTCAGCTGCCTCCACTGTATCTGGGTATTTATAACCACCACAAAGCCCCCTAATTTCACCTTAACTTCTGTGAGACTGTCTCCAGTGTGGATGTTTATGCGTCCTGGGGAACGTTTACCTCACAGGAAGGGATCTGCAGTAAACCTCTGGAAGGCATTTTGCGGTGCTTTCATTTACCAACAGAAGACGGGATAAACGCCCCACCCCTGCTTTTTGGTTGGTGAGGGAAAATAACCCAGATCTGGGCTCCCACATCACCCTGGTCAAAACCTTTTGGGTCCTAGTATAGTGCAATAAAAAAAGATTTATAAACAGTCTTCACATAAGTGAATAATAAGTCACATTCGCAAACCACTGGCTGTTCTTTTGGCATAGAATTACAGTTTATAAAGTGATTTGGCGACAACTGTGAATTCCGTTAATTTATATTAATACTCAACACATAAAAGCACAACATAAGAATAATGCAATAGTAAAGAATGTAATTTCACTAAATGAATGTGTGTCTTATAGATTCTCTGACAATAACAAAGTCGTAAAGCCTGCTCTCTAGTTATGTCACAAATATGGTCTAAAAAAAGTACAGATGCCAACTCAGCAAAACTTTACAACACTCACTGATGCTGAGAGAGCTGCTTTGCTCCAGTGCCACAGACACGTGTGAGA